GTTTTATAATAGCTCTACTTGTATGCAACACTTAAGTCCCAAACAAAGTTGCTGAGATCTGGATTCAAATTATTCTGTCTCCTGAAATAAAAATAAATTCACTACTTCCAGGGACAGAGAACCCAATAAAGACCAAGATTTAAAGAATTAAATATACATTTAAGCAGGCAAACATACTGAGGGTCACTGAGTGTATCAGCTGTTTCCTTCAGAAGGTGATCTTGAAGTACCTATGGGGGAAAAAATCATGCATATAAACACAAAGAAATCTAATACTTATATGTGAACAATATAGTTCCACACATTATTCAGACAGCCCCACAATAAAATTTCACAACCTCTGAGTTGTATTTCTAATATTTTTAGACATGCTAGTAAACATGCTAGAAGAGAATCTGACTCATGGTGAACATAGTAGCTGTGGTACTGTCTGCATTGAGTCCTCCTAACACTTAGTAAATTGCAGCCCTATGCCAAGGTGCTCCTGCTAAAAAGAACCCAAACTGAAGCAAATCAAATCAGTTAGGTTTGCACACGATGGGCCGCAATGCAATCTTTGAACTTTTTTTAATTCAGTCCATTGAGTTTCATATCTGACTGGCAGAAGAGCATAAAGGCCAGAATTAAACTTGCAGATGCTGAAACACTGCTCAGCATTCTGTATTCTTTTTCACTATAGCTAAACTACTCCAGCATCATTATTCCAGCTGTCAGCAACATTATGTGTTGACTGAACATCATTACATAGGAATGCACACAAGGAAATTCACTATTCATTCCTTTGGTTCCAGTCATTCTCATCTCAAGTCCAAAAAAAAAAAATATGTATTTTTTTCTCTGCACTCATTATTTTTCTTTTTCATATTTCCTTATGAAAGAAATTCTTCCCTGTGAGGGTGGTGAGGCACTGGCACAAGTTGCCCACAGAAGCTGGGGCTGTCCCATCCCTGGAAGTGCTCAAGGCCAGGTAGGACAGGGCTTGGAGAAACTGGCTCTAGTGGAAGGTGTCCCAGCCCATGGCAGGGGGTGGAACATGAAGACCTTTTAAAAGTCCCTTCCAACCCAAACCATTCTCTTCACAGGGGCAAAGTTTCAGGCAAGAAAGAAATTTAACTGTGAAGAACAGATGGGGGAAGGATGACTTTTAAACTCATAACAGAAGTTGACATATACAAAGCATTAAAGAAATACAAAAGTAAACTCACATTAAGAATTTCATCCTTACAGAACACTAAGGCTTCAGGTTGTTTGCTCGAAGGAAAAGCTTTTTCAAAAGCTACTTTTGCAGCAGAAGCAGCAGGGGAGTAAGTGTCACACTGAGCAATCAGCCAGTAACCCATTATACTTTTTAAGTAAGGAGCTAAGTGTTTTTTTACTTTAAGAATCAGTTGCTCAAAAGATTGCTGAGTTGCTTCTCGAACACGGCGATCATGATCCTGTTAAACAAAGAAAAGAAGGAAAAAAAGAGAAAGGTTTGTTGGATTAAGAAATCTACCTTTGATTTCAGGTACTTCAAAGCAAAAGTGGTGATTAAAAAGCCATGTTTGCAATTAATTGGATTTGAAACACAGATTTGAAAATACACACCAATGACAAAAAAGTTGTGGTATCCCACGGAATGGGGAGAGTCCTAATTTAGTAGCATCATATTACCAAACTGTTGGACATTCAGATTGTAACCTTTCCCTGACATCCCTAACAACAGTTTTTGTTTCCAATTTATACAAACATTTTACAGACAGACAAGAGGCAGGAGAAACAGGAAGCCTTGAAGACATCTTCTGAGTTAGAACTATCATAAGCTATCCTTTATTTGAATATGAATTTACAACATCATGATTTTCCATACTTTTGACTCCAGAAAGAAACAGCAGGAATTACTCCAATGGGTAAGAACAGTAATTCATTTTGTTCCATACCAACAACAGTAGGCATTCTAGACAGCTTAGAAATAGAATAAATAGATAAGAAACTTGTTGCTAATCTGGCTGCACATGGTCTTTTCATATTTGGGTTAGGGTTTTTTTTTTTAATGTTAAGTCAGGTCAGATATTAGCCCTAGATCAAGAAAGTTTATAACTATGTTAACTCTCTAGCCTTTTTGGAATCCACATAAAAAAACTTCTCCTAAGAAATATCGTACCATCTTTTAAACATAAAGGTCTAACTGACCTATCAAGGAAGAACAGCCCACAATCAACAGTTCAAGATTCCACCCACTACCAATAATGAAATATGTCCACAAAAAGAGCAGTATTTTCCTTCAACGTGATGTTTCTCCTAGAACAAGTCAGTAATTCCAACAAAGGTAGATACGTCAACAAAGACCACCTCAGAGGTAGTCACAGGAAGTAGACAGATAAGTTTCTAATTTAAATACTTCAGTACTTACCAGTGAAATTTTACAATAAATTCTTGGCCAGTAAGGAAGAACACCTTTAACAACTTCTGCTTCTCTTTCCTTGCACATCATCCCAAACTCTTGCATAGCCTAAAATCAAAACATCAAGAGCATGACTTAAGAAGTCAGGTAGATATGTTCTGTAATTTACCAGTTTGTATCCGAAACTGCAACTCCCTTTTCCAAAAATCAAATAATTTCTTGCAAATGAGCACCTACAGATTGCATGACAGCCTATCCAGGATATCCATCTGTATTGCAGTTCTAGCAAATCCACCAAAGTGAAATTAGTTACTTCCTCTCCTCCCTTAAGAAAACTGTATTATTCTCCGATTAAAAAAAATAAATTATGGGGGGCAAAGGATACACTTACTTTTAACTTGGTTGTGACATCCCTTTTAGAAAGTTTTCGCAACACCATTCGGAAATCAGCATCCACAAGGCTGTTTACTTCCTCTGCTCCTTGAATTGCAGGAACATATCCTAGATCGCTCTGAGATGTTCCGAAGCCGATAAACCCAGGCACTGTTCCACGTTCTTTGGCAAGGAGCTCTGCAGCTCGGCCGCTGCTAGAAGGCTGACAAAAGAAAAGGGACAGGAGTCAATTATCGATTTAATTTTATTTTGCACAAATTATGCATTTGAAAATATGATCCTATTTTTATTTTATAATTAACCTTCCAATTAACATAAAGCCTCTCAATGAAGAGTCCACCTGTGCTTTAAACACAGAAACCTAGAAAATTATTCTTCTCTTTAGGATCAGGCTGAGAAATTTGGGGCTGTTCAGCCTAGAAAAGGCTCCAGGGAGCCCTCATAACATCCTTCCAGGATCAGCAGGGAGCCTACAAGGAAGCTGGAGAGAACTCTTCATCAGGAACCGTAGTGATACGACAAAGAGGAATGTCTTCAAACTGAAACAAAATAGGTTTAGACTACATATGAAATTCTTGCCTGTAAGGGTGGTGAAGCCTTGGCACAGGTTGCCCAGAAAAGCAGGGGCTGCCCCATCCCTGGAAGTGATCAAGACCAGGTTGGACAGGGCTTGGAATAAGCTGGTCTAGTGGAAGGTGTCCCTTCCCATATCAGGAGGTGGGACTGGATGAGCTTTAGTCCCCTCCAACCCAAACCACTCTGTGAGTCTATATGATGATTCTATGAATCAGAATTCTCTTTTCTCATAATGCATGAATATTTATGGAAAATTTTCTCGCTTTTATTGCTTTACATTGCTTTTTCGCTATACAAAAAAAGCCTAACAGAAAATTCCTTCTGCAAGCAAACAATTTATTAAGAATCTAGAAACAATTTATTAAGAAACTGTTTATCCTCCTTCACTGTTTCTGGCTTTCTAGTTTTTATCATGGGCCAATACAGCTCCCAGGGAATGCTCCTTTATTCTCTGAACAAATAAAAACACACAGACATAAAGGATTCTCCCAGCAACCAAGCGGCCAAAAATTATTTAGACAAATGGAGCAAAAGCATACACATGTAACAAATATAATAAACACCATCATACAGTGTGTGTTTTGGAGCTCAGCACCACTTCTAATTTACCCCATTTGCCCATTGTATTATTGGCTGAGGTTTGTTTCAACCACGCTCTTTTAGAAAACTACCCCAAAACTGACTGATGCTTAAATGTCTTCTGGGACACCTCACAACGCAAATACCTTTTATTTCCTAATGGCAGCAGCAGTTTTGTGAGCTTGTGGGGTTTAATCAATCTTTTCTGCATGTGAGCTGTTAAGGATATGCTGCTTTGCGTTCTCTAGTCTTCCCTAAATCCAGGGAGGAATTAGGGAACCTTAACACCAGACTTCTCCCACAATCCTGAGTGACAGGGCAGATATCACGTCATCTCTGGCCTTTTGGCAAGAGTGTATTCTAAAACTCTGCACAGGAAACCACACCGAATGTACCTCCGGCACCTTGCTGAACCTACACCCGCGGTGATTTTTCTCTCCCTCTCCGTACAAATACCACAGCAGCAGCAGTCACATTCCCCTAAAGCACGACCCAGGCCCAGAGGCGGCCCCGGGCCCGGCCCCAGCGACCACAACCGGCCCCAAAGACCGCGCTGGCCCGCCGAGGGAGCCGCGCTCCGGCAGCTCGCGGCCCGCCACCCAGGGCAGCCGGAGTGCCAGAACCGCGAGCCCCCGAGCCCTGGGCCCGGCCCTGCCAGCCCGCCCGGCCCCGCTCACCCGCAGGTTGCCCTTGGTTCGCTGCTTGTTCTTGCCCCCCATGGCGGCGGCGGCGGCGCCGGGAGCAGGGCCCGGCCGCAGCCACCGCGGGCACCCCGACACTTCCGGGGCGGGGCCGCGCGGCGCGGGAGGGAACCTGCCTCGGAGGGCCTCAAACTCAACAGTATCCTTTAAAGAAATAAACCTAAATCCATCGATCTTAAACTTCCAGCGTCCCGGGGGGCCTTTACGGAGCCGCAGCGTTCTTGTACAAAGACTTGGATTTGGGAAAGTTTCACCCACGCTTGTCGAATGGTGTCGCTGTGAAGTATCCCTACAAGAGGTGTGCAAGTCCGTGCCAGAGTTAGCGATGAATGTCAGCGATTTTACAGGATGTGTACAGAAACATTTAATCAATATTTAATAAAAATATTTAATCAAAAGAAACCAATGTCTGTTTTTTCTACCACGGGATTTATATACAGTATCTGCAAAATTAGCATTCATTGATACAACTTTGTTGAAATCCCACTCAAAAACACACGCAACATAATGCACTTCATACTACAGGACTGAAAACTTGGGAACTCAGAAGGCTGAGGATCGTTTCAGAGTTTTTGAGCATGCTGTAAGGGAACCCGATCCTTGGTACACTGCTGCTTTTACACAAACCAAAATAACAGATGGAGTGGAGGCACCATGGTATCTGTCTTACCTGCACACACACTTTTACCTACAGAAAATTCTTATGCCTTAGAGTAGGCATCCTAATTCATCTTGGTAGCATGAGTAAGACTCTTGTAAACTTGCTCCCTCCCTTTGTTCTTTTTTTTTTTTTTAAATAAAATAATGATCTCATGGCTTACTAAACTTTCAAGTTGAAAGTAGAAGACTGTTTAGAAAAGAAGTTTTCATGAAGCGTCTGTAAACAGTAACAATTAATGTAAACATTGTGTTCTCACTCCTGAGAGACCCACACTGCAATTTTGTCTTTTCTTATTTGTATATTCATTCACCATATTCCATCTGTTCATCCATCTACAATTCTGTAACTGTCCAGTAGGTTACCAAACACATTTTCTTTCATTTTGTGTAGGTATGTATCCTAAATCTTCTTAACACCAGAAAGTGCATAAAGGATTCATATAGTCATTTTCATTATTTAGGATTTCGCTGGATATTTGTTTATATTGAAAACTGGCTTCATCACATGAATCATGAATTATTAATTCCCGCTCTGATCAACTGTTGCAGAAAAGCTAAGGAATCTGTTAAGATTACATTAGAAATGTAGCTGCTGGTGTCTCTGCTGTTCTTCAACTCCTTGAATGCCCTTCAACCCCAAAGTACATTTGAAATATGTCAGCACATCCTTTTTCTTCTAAAAAATTATATAGTTGCCCTAAGTCCATATGATTTCCCCGAGCACCATGTGCATCAAAACATTTTTCTTCCAAAGTGGGGAACTTCCGTTGCTTCTGGATCTCAGCATGTCCTCCACCTTCCAAAGAAACATCTTCTCTGTGCCGAATAAGGATTCTTTTCCATGTTAATCTTCTTATCCTGAAAGCAATTGAGGAAATATTAATCCACCTATAAAATAAAGACTGTTTTGGGAAATACTATGGAATAAATACCATCACAAAAGTCAGTAAATTCTATTTGTGTATATATATCTTGACAGAGATAATGGTTCATGAGCTGGTCACAGAAATACTACTCACATGCAAACACTCTCATAAGCAGAAGCTTGGGGGTTTTTTATCTCCTCAGGACTGGAAAACTTTAATGCTATTCCTCACAAAATAATTAATGAGGATGTGGTTTCTATTTCAGGGCTCACTTCTGCCTTTCCTGTGCTAAGAATTCTCATACACTCCTAGCTGATACAATCAAATTACAATGCTTATTTAGTCTGCACCACCCGGAAGTATAAGAGATGTAAGCAGAATTAAACACAAATGGAAAATGATATAACAGCACACATATCTAACACAACTGGGGTACTGCAGTCCATCTCTATAAAAGTGAAACACAGAGGAAAATAAAACAGAAATAAATGTGCATCCTGCAGTACCAGTTTCTTTAACTATTGCAACCGACAGTGCAGTGGATATTCAGAGTTGTACATGCATTATTATAAACACAAATACTTTACAGATCTTCACAGCTTGGCAGGTGGTTGAATTTCCCACCTTCTGGCCACATGTACAACATGACAAAATGCAATATTCTAACTACTAATGGCATTTCAGTATAAAGAAGAACTAACCTTGACCAGAACTCTTCACAACTACTTTGTAAACCTTCTACACAAACAACACCTGGTTTCCCTGGCATGCAAAACCCTGACAGAGAGAGCTCCTTGGCCCAGTCAACAATATTTTTTCTTTTTTGCTTGTTGTAAATGTGATGACTGTAGATCCACAATCGAGTGAACATGGTGACTTCTGGCTTTGTGGCATCTGAGGCTGTCATTGGGAAGGATGAAAGATCTTTGTCAATGTAACCAGCTGCATGGTCTTTCACCCATTCCCTCGCACTCAGCATGCAGGGCTCGCCACTGAAGTTTTGCATCAAGTACTTTTTTAGATCAGAGTTTAGGAGAATCTGCTGAGAGCGGCTCAATAATGATGACCTAAAGAAAAATATAAATGCATATAAATATAGATGTGTTTACAATTTACCATGTTTTTAAAAACACAGAATAACAGAATCCTTAGGTTTAGAAAAGACATCCAAGATCAAGTCCAACCTTTGACCAATGATCACCTTGTCAACCAAACCAGTGCACTGAGTGCCATATCCAGTCATGCACTGACCACCTCCAGGGAAGCAACTCTAGCACCTCCCTGGACAGCTCCTTCCAATGACTGACCAACCTCTCCATAAAGAAATTCTTCCTTATGTCCAACCTGAACCTCCCCTGGCACAGCTTGAGGCCATTTCCTCTTGACCTGTCACTGGTTCCCTGGGAGAAGAGGCAATCTCCACCTGCCCACAGTCTCCTTTCAGGTAGATCAGGTAGAGAGTGATAAGGTCCCCCCAGTCTCTTTTCCCCCAGGCTAAACCACCCCAGCTCCCTCAGCTGCCTCTCATTAGGACTTGTGTTCCAGACACTTCCCCAGCTTCATAACTTTTGAAAAGTTTTGCTTCAAGTTGCCAAGAAAATCAGACATAGCTAGGCAATACACACTTGCTATTGATATTTAACTCATATTAGCTATGAAAACATCTTAATAATTATTTTATTGGTGTGCTAGCTCTTGAATTCACAAACAGCACTACCAATCTGTAAAATAAAATCAAGAAAAAGGTACTTGAAAAGTAAGTATGGTGGCTGAACTAATTTCCTGTAATACACAAGTCTACTTCTCTAAACAGAAATAAAAAGAACAGAAGGCTGGAAAAAACAGCATTGTGACAAGGGAAGAGTAAGACCTTTGATTATCTTTTCTTCCCTTTAATTAGTCTTAAGCTTTATTAAAATAGACAAGTCTTTTTTCTTGAGCATCAGACCTATGAACAGTATCTACATGTAACCCTTCTGTACAGGTGATGGCTCCTTCACCCTTTTTCCCTTTCCCTCACTTATTTGCTGAGCACAACAGAGAAATCATAAGCTTGTATATTTGTTTTGTCTTCAGCACTGTTGTCAACCTGTCTCAATTCGGCAGTAATCCATCAAAAAAAAGGACTGCTTTCTCTGATCATAACCGTGTTTGTGCAATACACTTTAACTTATAAATGTTTTTATTTGCAGTTGTACCTCACAGTAATTTCTGGGAGAACAGCTGGATATTTAAATGGTAAAGCACAGGCCATAGAGAATTCCACCTAAAAACAAATGAGGAAATGTTTACTTCATGTAAGCCATAAAATCCCACAAAGTAGTATTAAAAAAAAAAAAAAAAAAGTTGTTTACAATACCGTAGAGGCATTAGGCACCTCTTTCTTTACATTCAGTATAAACTGAACTTTTGAAGATGGCACCTCTGCAGACTCATTTTCAACATAGTGTTTCAGTTCAGCTAGAGCCAGTTGGTCTGTGACAGCAAACTCTTCCTCATAAGGAAACATGCTAGACAGTAAATCTAACTCTGAAATTTGTATCTCTGCTTCTTCTTGGTTGGCCATTTTTGTTGTTCCCTGAGCAAAGAAAAATATAGGGAAGAAAGACATGGCTTGAATATGGGACAAAGTTCATTAACTACTCCTATGCAAATCATGTTACAGAATCACAGAATACACTGAATTACAAGGAACTCACAAGGATCCTCGAGTCTGACTTCTGGCCCTGTACAGGACAATCCTAAGAGTCACCCTGTGCCTGAAAAGCATTGTCCAAATGCTTCTTGAGCTCTGTCAGGCCGGTGCAGTGACCACTTTCCCGGGGAGGCTGTTCCAGTTCCCAACCACCCTCTGGGGGAAAGAACCTTTTTTTTAAACATCCAACCCTAAACCTCTCCTGACTTCATGTCCTGCCCTCGGGTCCCGTCACTGGTCGCCAGAGAGTGCCTGCCCCTCCACTTTCCCTCCCGAGGACGCTGTACACTTAACGCACATTAATAGCTATGAACAAGCCCATCGTGTCTGCCACGCAGTCTGGCTCACACACACTGACAGCCCACGCAATTTCCACTGCCCTGAGGTGGGACAGGACGCGATGGCGTCTTCCCACAGGGCTGCTACTCGGGTGTCCTGAGCGCTGGGGAGCCTCCCCTGCCCCTCAACCGCTCCGCCACCACACCGCTCCGCTCCCCCGCGGACAACACAGGAGAGGAAAGCGAGCAAGTGTGGCGCCCGCGCATGCGCGTACACATCCCTCGCCCCACCCCCGGTCACGGCCCCACAATGCAGCGCGCCAGAAGCACGCATGGCAGCCGATGACCGCCGCCTCTCCACCGGCTATTGAGGTAAGAGGTTGTCGTCTGCCCTGTCTGGTGGAGTCATGCGCCACCAAGTTGTTCGCCCCGTCGCACCGACAGGTGAGGGACGGGAACCCCCCAGGGCTGCCGCCGCGCTCCTACCGCCGCCGCCACTCTCCTCCCAGTCCGGGACCCGCTCCGCCGGCGCACTGCAGCTGTCCTTTCGACCGGGACGTGTGGGGCTCCTGATTGGCTGCGGCAGTTGTCGGTCATGGCGTGGGCCAATGGGAAGCAGGCAGGGCCGGGTCATGGGGCCGGGCCGGGGCCGCAGGCTCGGGGCTCTCGGCTCGCCTGCGGCCGGCACGGGAAGTGCCGGCTGGCGACGGCGTCCTGCCTGCTGCCCGCCGCAAGCCGGGGCTGCCCCCAGCGAGCCTCCCAGGGCTTTTTTCCAGAGTGTCAAATGCAGGTGCGCGTTTGGTCGTTTACAGACCGCTCTGTCTTATTTAAAAAAATATATATAAAACGCTTCAGTCGTTTAGGCTGTGCATTCCTCGTGAGGGCTTTGCCGTGGTGCAGAGCCAGTCGGACAGGTCTGCCCAGGCATAGCTTGGGTTAAATTAACAGCCCCACGTGGTGATGCTATCCTGCATTCCCGGCAGGAGCAAGGACAGTTTGGAAAGGATTTTATTAATTAAAATTGTTTATACAAGATCAAGTGTTGTAGCTTTTTGCAGAAAAATGTGTTGGGTGAACAGTTGCTCCTTTTTTTTAACAAGTTGAATGCTAAGTTGCAAAAGTTGGTAATTCTGCTCTCGGTGACGTGGCTGTCAAGCCACCATCAACAATTGGGTCATCTGCCCTGAGAGTATGGTCATGCAAACATGCTCGTGTTTGTAAATGGCTTTTCATACAAAACGTCCTCTGCGAGTATCAAGCCTAAGCTCTCCCCAGCTTAATTTTTGTCTTTGATTTTTTTGGTATGACTTAATTATTTTGGCTTTGACAGCTCTAAGCAGACAGTTTTGCCCTGGGGCTTGTGTGCTGCCACGTGCAAGCAAAGAAATTAATTTGGAAGGGTGGACTGATGCAGATTTAGTGCTGGTTGTGTTTACGTGAAGGGTGGACAGCAGGGTTAACCTAGCCTGCAAATTCCCATGGTCTATGTATTTTCAAATACGTCAAGAGTATTTTACTTGTGTCAGATTTCATCAAAGACACAGGAAATTTGCAGTCAACAAAATAAAAAGGTTGCAAATTCTTCAAGATTGAATTGGGACAAAACCAATTCTTTTCCATTAAATTCCTGTGGTGTTACTTTAAGTCCTTAAGGTTTATAGGATTTTTGATAATGAAGTTTCCAGCCTTGTTATTTTGTGCAATGCTTTTGATTTAACATTTTAAATCATTTGGGTTTTGTAATTCACACTGTGATCTTTTCTATGCAACAGTTATAATTGTTTCATGTTAAACTATAATTAATATTTTTTTGTTTTGAAAATGTCAAAACAAGTTAATTCACCTCAAGGGACAGCTTTGCCGTAGAAATAACTTGTGTAGCAATGAAGAAGGACAACTAAAACTACTTTCTAATCTTACTCTTTTTCTTTGTTAGGTCACTCTTCCTTTTAGGGACGATTACAGACAACAAATATGGGCAAGAAACGCATCAAAGGCAAAACTGCACAGTCTGATGAGTCTTCGGATATACTGAGTATGTTTCCTTGAAGAAGTTTGTGGACCTAATGTTTTTTTTAACCTCAAAGAAGGCTTGAAAGCTGATTAATATTAGAAGGCTTTTGCATTACTCACTGACTTTGAAGTTTTGGATTTTTAATTGAAACCCAAGTCTAGCAAGAAATATTGTTGTCATGACTTTTCTAAGTATGCTAGAAAATAATAATCCTGTCTTAAAAACTGAGATTAGTTTCTGGTTTTTTAGGAAACTCAAACACAGTTCTTTACTGATACAGATTGTGTAAAATTACTCCGAATATAAAGGGTTTGTAGAGTCAGCTGCCAAGCTTAAGTTGCATTTTCCTAGTGAAAAGTTTGTTGCAGAAGATTCTTGCTTTAGCAGTAAAAGCTGTGACTAAAATATTTTCATGAAGCAGTTTGCCTTTTTCCTAACAGCTGATTTGGTACTGACTCTGGACACTTCAGCTCTCATAGTGTATTTTGGTTAAAATCTCTTCTTTCTGTTCCAAATAGTTGCTAATCCCAGATACTAAATTTTATTCTCCTAGCTCCATTGGATCTCACCTGTGAAATTTTTTTTGTCTTGTTTACCTTGGTTATTGTAGCTTTTTTTTACTTACGTTGTGTAGCATTCCCTTCTACCACCTTATCTGCCAGGTCACAGATTGTGTCTTTCTCATCTTTTTTGGGGAAGTGATTTGAACCAGATTAATTTAGTTGGGGGAGAGAGGACTTACAGTTTGAGGAGGCTTGGTGGGATGGCCTGTTCAAGTACACTGTGCTTTGTTTTCCTGATTGTCCTGATCTTCTTGTGTTAGCCTCTGTCTCTAATGGATGCCTTTTTTTACCTGCTTTTGTCTGGTTTGGTTCTTCGGGATGTTGGGGGCTTGTTTCCTGGAGTCAGGGTCAATGTCTACTGTAACTGTTCCTCTTTTTCTCCTGCAAAGAGACCGGTTATGTTCTAGTTGTGCTGGCATCTCAGTTTTTTGCCTGTGAATAGGTTATCTTACGACAACAAAGACCTGTAAAGCTACAAATGAAACTAAGACTAATCATGGTGAATAATTCCACTGTAACTGTAGTTGCCAATATACAAAATTTTTTGGTTTGTTTTTTAAAGGACAATTTTGTAGATGAAGCTTATGTTTTTCAGAAAGGCTAAAAGAATGCTGAATATCTGTGTTTGTCTCTTGTTGGCTAGCATTTGCACTTTGATGAAATCCTGTAATCTTGGACAGAAACAGAACTGGAAGTACAAAATTTTGCACCAATTCCAGCTTATGCCAATAGAAGTTTGCAATCTTGAGGCTGTAATCTTGCCTCAACAAAGATAGTTTCAGAGCTGTCACTCTATCTGAGCAATAAAAACAGCTCAAAGTTTAGAATGCAGCAACAGTATACCCATATTGTCAGTGGTGGTAACAAAAGGTTTCTTTCTGATACTCTGATAAATTGTCTGTGTTTCATTGGCTCTAGAAAGACTATCCTAGCTTCTGGATTACTGCCAGTCTCTTCAAGCTTGCATTTGTTATGCTACCTACATCCTTCTTGTGCTTTTTACTTTGTAGAACCTGTGTGCAAGCATATTCGTAAAGGAGTGGACCAAGGGCATGTGAGAAAGTCGCTGCAGAATGTGGAATGGCATGTTTGTCAGGACTGCAAGGCAGACAGTAAGACACAAGAGAAGGCTGAGGAGAAGGAGACTGATGAAGGCACTTCAATATGGTTATGCCTAAAATGTGGCCATAGGGTATCTCTTTTGTTGTTAATTTGTCTTAATACCTTTCAGTGTCTCATAATGCAATGGAACAAGAGAGTTTCTAATTAAACTCTTATATTCTCTTTTTTTGTTGTAAAGATGGTGCTACCTAGATGACTTTATATACTGTTGAGTTTGATTTAAAAATGTCTGCTCTGAATGTCAAATGAAGTACTTGGAAGATGGCTTAAAGACATTTAGCAAGCTTAAGGCTAAAACAGCCTTGAGGACTGGTTTTCCTAGAAAGTTTGAATTATTTTGCAGAGAAAATAAAAATACTCCTAATCTGTATTAGGGGTATTTTTACAAGATCTTAATGCTCATGTTAGTTCATGAAACTTAGAACTCTGCATGCTGAAGATGTTTTGGGTCTGTTTCGTTCTTTTAGGTGTTTAGACTGGAATTCATTCATTAAATGTTCAGTCCCATAGCAGCTTTATTCTGCACCCAGTAATTTATCCATCTGCAGAAATAAATATTTTGAAATAGATATCCATCTGTTGATCCCAATTAATTTAACATAATTGAACAGTTTTGATTGTAATACTTTGTTTTTACTCTGACTTTATGTATGTTTCATTGGCAGTCAAATGGATTTTGTGACACTTGTGGTTATCAATATTGTAGGGCTGTGGCAGAAATTCTCCAGACCAGCATGCTTTAAAGCATTATGAAACACCAAGATCAGATCCCCACTGTTTGGTTCTCAATTTGGACAACTGGAGTGTGTGGTGAGTTGTCAGGCAGCACAGGACAGAGCTGGAGGGCAACAGAGGCTGGAATATAATTTGTCCTTTCTTTGGGAATTCTGAGATTTCTCTCTAGGCACATATTGAAGTGTTTCCAAACATGTAATTTCCAGCAGTCTTTGCTGAGATTTGCAAAATAAGTGTTATTTTCTTGTAAAATTTATGATGAGAAAATTTTCATAATTGAGGTTAAACTTGACCAGCTAGTAAATGTTGTTGACTTAATATTTTACTGTTTTTTACTTGGTCAGAATACTGACACATGGACACAAATGTTGGTCAGTAGCTCCAAATCTTAAGTTTTGACTTGGGAGAAGGTTTTTTCTGATGTGCTCTTAGCGACAACCTTACTTTTATCTCCTGTGTAAATACGGTTTTTTAATACTACATATAGACAGGAAGCATAGCTACAATTACGAGATGCTTCTGGATCAAGCGATACAAAATCCACATCCCTGGTAGTTTTTGCTTCTCTCAAAAGTAATGTTACACTTTTATATATGAGGGGGAACCCTAATTTTCTAAACTGTGCTATATAGAAATACTGTACTTGACATAAAGAGTTTTTGTTTTGCTTAGCAATGTGGTTTTGCAACTTAGTATCTGTCATTGTGTTCATTTTATATAACATTATCTATTTACTTGATCATACTTAGCACTTACTTATAATGATCACTACTTTTAATGAACTCTAGAATGGAAATGGACATTGTCAGTAACATTATAACTAATGAACTAGTGAGCTTGTCTTTGTAAATTTAAAT